CTTTTCTTTCAACGATATTAGTTTTATTATCTTTTTTTCATTATATTGCCTGAGTTATATCGAGCAAAAACTGAACACGTTCATTCCCATTGACGAGTTATCTCGTCAAGATTACACAGCGTTACGAATAACTCGGTCCTTAAGGCCACTTTTGAATTTTTTTTTTGATTTTTGGAATGATGTTTAAGTCTCCAAATTTTTTCAAACATTTTTACCCGCGCAAAAAATTTATCGCGGTTTTAATCAACCTTTAATGACGCGCGATTAACGCTTAATTGTTTTTTAATGTGGTTTTTTAAATCAAATGTAATTAATTGTTGTAAAGTTGTAGTGCACAGATTTGACTTCGGTAAAGTTATTTAAAGCTACTTTCTGATGTCAAAAACGACCTCCAATAGTTTTTTAATTTTTTTTAATTAATATATTTTATTATATATAAGTTTAGTTAAATCGGAGAGGGTCGGAAATCGCGATTAAAGTTTTAATTTTTTTTAAATATTTAAAAATATACCGCCAGCTCATATTCACCCTACTTTAAACCCTTGTCCTCCTGAGACGTCTATGAGATTGCCCCTGGAAATCCGACACCAGATGCTTTCAAGGTCATTCAGCTGTAAACACCATGACTCATCAGTGTCAAATTTCACAGAAAGGCAAGACAAAGGAAGTTAAACTTTGAAGCTTTTTCTTCAAAATTAACACATTTCTTTCATTTTTTCATTTTTAAGTATTTTTTATGTTTAATTATAATTAATTAAAAATTGATCGAGAATCAAGGAGTTAATTGTGCATAACCATTTACATCATTACTCTTATTTAAAGTAATTGAATACATTTCGTCATAAGTTAAGTCGTTATGTATTTGCGAAATAATATTTATTTTTAATTCTATTGCTCGATCTTTAATTGTATTGCGACTTATTGGTAACTCATCTATTCACTTTATACTCAAGTCTTATTCTTTAAAATCTGCAAACAAAGTACAGTAGAGCATCGATTTTCCGATTCCTGATCAATTGTCACATCGGTTAACCGACTGCGTTCTAGTCGACAAATTCAAATGTTTGCTAGTGATGTGGCACAACAACATTTCGCTATGTATTGGCTACTTTAATATTATTTTTACGTGTTTTAGCTAACAACACTGGCTCGACCATGAAAGGGAGCCAGTATTTAAACGAGGTTTAATTTTTTACTTTTTGACGATACAATAGCGACGATTATTATTTTAAAAAATTTTTGTTAGGCTTAACATCGATGAAAATTCAACGCGAAGTAGGTTAATAGTGATATACTAATATACTAGTTACATGGGATATAATAATATACTATAGTAATAATGTATAATTTCATATTTTTCGGTTATCCGACTTTTCAGTTATCCGACCAACCCCAGTCCGCAATTGAGTCGGATAATCGATGCTCTACTGTAGGTCCACATTCTAAAAACGCATGTTTTACAAACTCTCCTTTTAAAAGAGGTTTCCCGTGGCGAGCAATGCAATAAGCAACTTGCAAACTAGCCGCTGTAACGTTCTTTTTTGGAATAAAATAAGATTCGAGTCGAGATTAGAATGCAACATTTTCAAAATTTCTGTTTACATTGTCTGTACGTGACTTTGCCGGCCACGACCACGAGGTAGTCCACGATGACACGATCCATTTTCGGTAAAATTAACCATATCCAATTTCGAAATTTTTTCAACGTTGCGTGTCGCCCGGGGTTGAATTTTTGTCCATGCATAACGAAAATTTTCTATTTTTGAAAAAATAATCCTGGCTATCGTAACGTCCGAAATTATATCTTTATTTTGAAGAAACAATATATATATGTATATATTAATAAATGTAGATAAAACAAATTATATTTAAAATGTTAGTTTTAATATAAAATTACGACATATGACGACTTGCGCCATGTACAATATTACCTCAGGATACGAAATTAATCCGTTCCGAAACTGAGATTGCATCATGAAAATGTCGTAAGGTGTAGCATTTTTCCCCATATGATTACATGTAAAAACAAATAATTTGTTCCAACACGAAAAATAACATTAGTAAGGAAAACACTGAAAAATCCGTTTTGTAGTTGTAAATGTATAAATAACCATAATAAAATAATAATTGATTAAAAAATGTAGTTTTATTTGCACTTTATCTTTGATGATAGACGAAAGTGCAAGTGTAAACTAGTGGCAGAAGAGAGGGAGAAGAGAAATGATACTAAAACTTAACTTACATAACATAATGTAAAAATAACTTAAAACTAATTTAGAAAACATTTTATAAAATTAGTGTTGTTTTATATATATAAATATATATATATATATATTAAGTTTTTATTCACGGCTTTTTGCTTTCTTTCTTTCATTTTCACCAGCACTTTCACTGGATAGAGGTCGCTTGGTAAAATATCTATCTAAATTGGTTTGGCTTTGCCTACTTTTTAAAATGTTTCTAAAATGACAGGCAAATGTCATTACTCTGAGCAGCAATATGGTCAGTGTGAACATTTTCTAAATGTTTCTTTTCAATAAAATCAGTCTTTTTCTGATAATACCTCAAAATTCTTTTTATCGAGCGAGATCCTTCCAGGACGAAGCAAACGCGTAAACTGAAACCAATGAAGAGAAGTGAATAAAAATGGCGCTGCGAACTCACGTAACGTCGTATGGTGACTTTTTATTCGTACCGTTAATCAAAATCACATTCAAATTTCTTGTTGTATCCTGAAAATTTTCGTATGCTGGAGCGTATCCTGAGGGTAGTGNACACGTACGACAAGGCTACCGTTTAGTTAAGCACTGGTACATCTTTGAGCTAGCACATTTCCTCGTTCTAGGATGCAAAGATATGTATGCGCGTCAACTTTATGACTTACTGTAACGAGTCATACACAGGTGTAGTGATATGTTAGAAAATCAGCTAGCCAATGTTCGCATGGAAATATCTACTACATAAAATCGAAATGGACAGTTCTGTGACTGTATGCCAAAAAACGACCACTAGGGGCTTCCATAGATATTATTTAAATTAAAAATATAAATTATTTTATATCTATTTTATATTTTTACAGTATAATTTAGTATATTATTGTTTTTATTTGTAATAGGAATTTATTAATTTATTATTTATACCATGGAATGACACCAAGCACATGCCCCGATGCCTGCATCGCACATTTAGACTTGTTTTATTTTTATACATTTGACATTAGATATATATACTTATATATTTTTAATATTTTTATTTATCTATTCTCTTATTTATGATATAAAAAATAAGTCTATCAAAATCAACGCGTAGGTCATTTAAAAAGCCTGTGTGGGTCAGTGTCTGACCCACGAGTCATAGGTGCGCCACCACTGGCATGGAGAGTTCTACATAAAGTAAAATTGAAGTTTATCGATGAAATTCATTGACCACTGATTTAGTTCCCCAATAAACCCAAATCACAGAAAGCATTTCTATAGTGAACATAGAGGATGCTTAAATGCTTCAACGCCATTTTTGCAGCAATGCTGTTATCATACTAGCATACTAGCAATATGCCAACGAACATGGTCTCATATAAAACTCGCTGTTCGTTGTTCAAATACAGGTCTGTTCAGGCAATGCGCAGGTTGTACTTAATGTTCAGACAATGTGCAGGTTGTAATTGATGTTCAGGGAGTTTCACATAAGAGGTCGATTTCCGTACACAAATGCTATCCTATAAAATTTATCTAATTTAAACTTTATTAATCGAACAAATAATGGTAAATCCAAGATAAGATGTAACAAAAAATTGTAATAGACTTAAACGCCTAACTTAAACAAAGTTAGTGATGATAACAACATTCTTTACATTTTTTTTGCAGATACTATTTTTATTACAATTAACACATTTTACTGCGAAAATCCATATAAACAATTTGAAAACAAAAGCAAGTTTNACATGTAAAAACAAATAATTTGTTCCAACACGAAAAATAACATTAGTAAGGAAAACACTGAAAAATCCGTTTTGTAGTTGTAAATGTATAAATAACCATAAAATAATAATAATTGATTAAAAAAATGTAGTTTTATTTGTACTTTATCTTTGATGATAGACGAAAGTGCAAGAGTAAACTAGTGGCAGAAGAGAGGGAGAAGGAAAATGATACTAAAACTTAACTTACATAACATAATGTAACAATAACTTAAAACTAACTTAGAAAACATTTTATAAAATTAGTGTTGTTTTATATATATATATGTATGTATTAAGTTTTTATTCACGGCTTTTTGCTTTCTTTCTTTCATTTTCACCAGCACTTTCACTGGATAGAGGTCGCTTGGTAAAATATCTATCTAAATTGGTTTGGCTTTGCCTACTTTTTAAAATGTTTCTAAAATGACAGGCAAATGTCATTACTCTGAGCAGCAATATGGTCAGTGTGAACCTTTTCTAAATGTTTCTTTTCAATAAAATCAGTCTTTTTCTGATAATACCTCAAAATTCTTTTTATCGAGCGAGATCCTTCCAGGACGAAGCAAACGCGTAAACTGAAACCAATGAAGAGAAGTGAATAAAAATGGCGCTGCGAACTCACGTAACGTCGTATGGTGACTTTTTATTCGTACCGTTAATCAAAATCACATTCAAATTTCTTGTCGTATCCTGAAAATTTTCGTATGCTGGTGCGTATCCTGAGGTACTACTGTACTTTGAAAAAAGTTCTGATGCTGAAACGAGATATGTCGGGAATAACACGGGACAAGTAAATGGATTTTTTTCAAATATTCGTTTGTCAAAATTCGATTTCGCAACGTACGCATTTCCAACTTTCTAACGAGCAACGCATTCGCAAACCTCCTACTGCCTTTTGTAGAGAGTGTCGCCATTTTAAGTTTTATTTCGACTCGGTTCTCGGTCCCCCGAGTACATACGNAATATTTTATTTAATGTTTACCTATAAAGAAATTGATATTTATAATACTTAATTAAATATTTTACAATAGAGAGTAATACCTGCAATTATGTCGAGAGTGCAATATTTCATCAATTTCAGAATATCGAATACTTCATTTTTTTGCAATTGTTTGAGTTTTTCGACTAAGACGTTTGAATGCTCCGTAAATACGTTTTGATCATTTTTCAGATTCCGAAGATGAAAATGTGGAGCGAAAGATTTTCTTCTTTTTCTCCAATCATCGTCAGAACTTTATTTAATTAAATTCAAAAAACTGTAAACGACGATATTTCATATGTAAACTAAATATCAAATAATGCATTACCTGACAAAAAACTGTTGTCTCCGAGTAGTGGCTTGAAGAAATCATACGTAGAATCCTTATCGATTAAACTTTTGCTTTTTAATACTTCCTACAAAACGTTATACTGAATATTTACATTCGTAGTAAATATATTACATAACTAGGCATGTTTTATTACCTTTGCAGATTCTGGATGTAAGAAAAAAATTAATTTATATCCAAGTATATTTATACAGGCAACTTTCTCGTTTGGAAATAGCGTAGAGAGTCCCGTAGTTACATTTAAAGTTTCTAAAAAGTTACGAAAAAATATTTCATCTATTCTTAAACAGTCAAATTACCCAATAAAATATTAATGACATACGTATCCCGATGTATGAATTGTGGTATTTCTTGTCACGTTGAGAAAATACAATGTTCCACAAAAATGGTAAAAAGGACATAGTCGGAAGATTCATTTTTAACTCCTGGCCGTTGTCTTTATTTTCTGAAAAATTAATGTCTGTTATAAAAATAAAAGTTGATAACGAGCGTCGTCAGAATGACGAGCAGTAATTTTTTTTCATATATAAAAAATTTCATTAAAATCGGTGGAATCGTTACTTATCAACAACGTGTTTCTGCATTTTTTAATTTGAATGGCTGCTACAAGAATGCTTTCACGTTTCATTCTTGTACGAATATAATATCAGTTAAACAGTTTATTAACGTGCATCTACATANGTTTTGTACTTGTAATTCTGTAGTAAAAAATTGTATTTCATTTATGGAATACAATTCTTACTCCTATAATATGTAATATAGTGTTAAGTTTTTGGACTTTTTTTTTCACAATTGTATACATTTTATATGAAAGGCGAGTAAGGTTTCGCGAACTGCCTGACATATAACCATAGTGTTTGTGTTAATAAGACTTACATATTAATTAGTCAAATATTTTAAATGTTTTTATTAAATTTGGATTTGTATAATTTTTATTCTGTAGCTTATCAAAAAAATATTAAAATGAAATACAAGTATTTTGTATCGAACACATCATTAACATATATGTTCAGCCCATTTTATGAAATACGGATAAATACGAACATATCGTTAACTACAATTTAATTTACGTAAACTTAAATATGAGAAATTATCAATGTTATAAATAAATCAAATGCAATAAACAGCAAAAAATAGTATTATTGTGAAGCAGATTTAATAACAATAACCATATACATTTTATTTTCGTACTTTTTATCTATAAAAATATGAATTACAATTTATGAGTAAAGTTTAACAATAGGTAGAATTATTTCGATGCAGTTTCTAAATGCATTCGTCGAGATTATATGATACAGGCTTTTGTTTATATTGATATACGATTGAAACGAAAATTACCCAAATCTTAGTTAATATTTTACAACATTCGTCTTTTTTCTACACACATTCTTATACCCGATATTGGGGTCAACATACTTGCGTATGAGATTAAGATTTTATCCTGAGGATCTAAAGAGTAAACTTTAAAATTACGAAGAACATTTGCCAAAACCATTTTTATCATAATCATGGCGAGTTTACTTCCTGTAAATAAATTATTTTAATGACCTAATTCTTTGTGTCTGTATTTATTCACTAATCACTTACCGAGACAATTTCGTGGACCGACAGCAAATGCCAGATATGCATAAGGATGAAGATTTTTATAGTTTTCAAATAGGAAACGGTCTGGATCGAACACTTCGGGATTTTCGTAAACAGAAGGATTATGATGAATACCATAGATATTTATGACAAGAGTCGAATTTGCAGGCAACACGTAATTACCTATTTCAATGACAACGATGTAACGCTTAAAGTCAATAACAAATGTAAAACATTATTATTTAAAAACAAACCGCAATATCTTAAATGTTTACCTATTTTCATTTCCGATGGATTTTTTCTGCCAATCAAAGGAAAAGGAGGATAGATTCTCATCGACTCCTGAAATTGTTAACATATAAATCTAATCTTTAAGTGTATTTTAAAAAATTAAAACGTTACCTTAATTACGCATTCCAAGTACGTCATTTTCGTCAGGTCATCGATAGTAATATCTCTATTCATATCATTTTTGAAAATTTCTTGCAATTCTAGATACACTTTCTCTTGTATTTCGTGGAATCTTCCCAGAAAATAAAGAGCCCAGGACAGAACGTGGGCGGTTGAGTCGTAACCCTGATATTAAAGTACATTGAAAATAAATGTAAAATTGCTTTCTATATTATTGATATTTTGTAAAATTATGATATGACATGCACAAATATCGCTATTCTTTTATATTCCTGTCATACCACTTTATACTGTAATCCACAACGTCATTTTTTGCAGCAAGTGATTGCCGCGGATCTACCGAGTAATTTTAATTAAAAAACAAGTTTCAAACTTCCAAATTGGATAAAAGCTCCAAACTGAATAAAAAAGTACGCAATGACACAAAACATCCCCAATTTACAAATTCTATATTTTCGATTTAAAAAGTTATTTATACCAATATAAAATAAATTATCATCACCGTCAAAATACAATACTAGCCCCGATTCACGAAGTGTTTCGGTTATTCGGTTAGGAATATATGGATTTAAATTAATTAATTAAATCATATGAATTTAAATTGTTTCGGACTACAAAATTTTTCGGTTATCATTTCTGATATTACTTGCTTTAAATTCCTTCAATTGTACAGTAGATCCCCCTATAAGACGGTAGATACGTTCCGTTCTTTATGAATCAATTTTGTAGGAATCATAGTTTACGGACTACGGCTGTTTGAAAGGTTTTCTTTCATAAAATTAATCGATTCTAGACTAATTCGACTCAACATTTCCAAAATACGTATATTTTTTTG